TCTCTCTCTCTCTCTCTCTCTCTCTCTCTCTCTCTCTCTCTCTCTCTCTCTGTCTACCTATCGTTCGGTCCGGGACCCACGGTGTTTCTCGCCTTAGGAGACTCATACTGATGATCCGGGCGCTTACAGGTGATCCTTTGGATAAACGTTGCGAACTCTTTGAACTTTGGTCCCACGGCTTCCGTTTCCGGTTTGTGATGTAAACGCAGGATGAGGACGGACACCACGACGCTGAAGGCTGTATACCCGAGCAGAATGGTCAGATAGAGGGCAAGCACTGATGTCTGGGGGAGAAACAAGGGAGGTTTGAACATGTTTTTTGGGGGATACAAGGTACACCATTGATGTGGTGAACCTATCAGCTATACATGCACCAAAGTCAGACCATGAAACTGAGAAAGTAGAGGAACTTTATGAAGATCCTTTCTCCCAGAATCTTCGATGAGAATCTAACGCTTATTCAAGACCCAAAAAAAAAAAAGCACCCAAAGGTGGAGTTCTAATGGAGCGATGTCTTGAACGGGGAGAGAGACAACCTCGAAAAGAGTAGAATTGGGGCAATAGATGGAGGCTATACATCATCCTTTTCTCACTCACTCACTCTCTCACTCACTCACTCACTCACTCAATCTATCACTCATTCACTCACTCACTAACTCACTCACTCATTCAATCACTTACTCACTCACTCACCACTCACTCACTCACTCACTCACTCACTCACTCATCCACTCACTCACTCAATCACTCACTCACTCAATCACTCACTCACTCACTCACTCACTCACTCACTCATTTACTCACTCACTCACTCATTTATTCATTCATTCACTCACACACTAACTCCATTTCACACTCACTCTCCTTTCCTCCCTCATTCACTCCTTCACTCACTCCTCCCTCCCCCTCCCACTCTCTTTCTCTCTTCCCCTCCCTCCCTCCGTCCCTAAGCCACTCTATCCTTACCCCTTCTCCCCCCTCCCTGCTTCCCTCTCTTGCAATGTCATGATGGGCAAGAAGGCAGAGAAAATGGTCAAGTAGGCAGATTAAGCCAACATGGCTGTGATACCTGTTCCCACCTCCTCTCCCTCTTTCCTCCCCCCCTTTCCCTCCCTCCCTCCCTCCACCCTTTCTCCCCTCCCTACCTCACTCCCTCCTTCACTTCTCCTTCCTTCCTCCCTCCCCTGCTTCTCTCACCTGCAAAGAAGTGCTGGTCAAGCAGGAAGAGACAATCGTCAAGTAGGCAAAAACAAGCCAACAGGACTGTGATAACTGTTCTCATATTTTCTCTCTCCTTCCCTCCCTCCACCCTCTCCCCTTCCCTCTTTCACTCCTTCACTCCCTTTCTCCTTTCTCTCCTTCACTCCCTCCTTCACTTCTCCTTCCTTCCTCTCTCTCCCTCTTCACTTGCAATGAAGTGCTGGGCGAGAAGGAAGAGACGATGGTCAAGTAGGCAAAAACAAGCCAACAGGACTGTGATACCTGTTCTCATAATAAATTCTCTCTCCTTCCCTCCCTCCACCCTCTTCCCCTCCCTCCCTCACTCCTTCACTCCCTCCCTCACTTCCTCACTCCCTCCTTCCTCCCCTCCCTCCCTCACCTGAAGTGTGTGGCTGGGCAAGGAGGCAGAGACAATGAGACCTCTTCCCATCTTTTCTCCCTCCCTCACTCCTTCACTCCCTCCTTCCACCCTTTCTCCGCTCCCTCCTTCACTCCCTCCTTCACTTCTCCTTCCTTTCTCTCTTCCCTGCCTCTCTCACTTGCAATGACGTCCTGGGAAAGAAGGCAGAGACAATGGTCAAGTAGGCAGATTAAACCAACAGGGCTGTGATACCTGTTCCCACCCACCTTCTCTCCCTCTTTCCCTCCCCCTTTCCCTCCCTCCCTCTCTCCCTCCCTCCATCCTTTCTCCCCTCCCTCCCTCACTCCTTCCTTCATTTCCCTTTCCTTTCTCTCT